CGACAAGCATAGAGAGAGTGGCAAGCACAGTGAGAGCGGCAAGCACAGAGTGGCAGTCGAGGAAAACTAGAAAAAGCGGCGACCACAGAAAACACAGAGAGGAAATGGCAGAAATCCAGTTTTGATTCACCAGAAAACGAGAGAGAGAACGACCTGGATTAGCTTGAAGCGATCAACTGAACAAAGGAGCCTTCAGATTTGAAGATGATTATCTCTGGACGAAACCAAATTTATCAAGAAAACGATTTGGGACTTAATCTCAGGGGCCCGAAGTTTTGCATTTTTTTTAGTGGATCTGTGGTTTTATCACAAAATGGTTTTGACCAATGGTTTAAAAAACGGATCGTTGACCCGGATGGGCTTCCAAAAAACAGATCCGGATCTGCGAATCGGCGATCCGGATCGAAAATCGGGTGAATCGATCATAATAAAGCTTAAAAAAAATTCGAAAAAATTATTAAAATTTATTATAAATATTATTTTTTAGGAATTCAATAAAAAAAGAAGGTACTCCATTAAGAATTTTCATGTTTTTGAATGAATATGCGAATATTGATATGTTCTTTCCCTGTATGAACCGCCATTCAGCATTTAATTTACAGTATTTCGTATTCATCTCTACACTGTTGCTGTTGGGACTCGATATGTGAATAATATGGCTGGGATAGGGTGGCCTCAGAATCATCATCTCTCATTTTTTTCTCTTTGAATAATATGGATTAAAAAAAAAAAAACAAATTTTCAAAAAAATCGATCATGGATTAAAAAAAAAATCACAAATTTTCAAAAAATTCTATCATGGATTACAAAAAAAATTCGATTATGGATTAAAAAAAAAAAATCACAAATTTTCAAAAAATTCAATCATGGATTACATAAAATTCGATCATGGATTACATAAAATTCGATCATGGTTTACATAAAATTCGATCATGGATTACAAAAAAAAACAAACAAAAAAAAACAAAAAATTCAATCGTGGACTACAAAAAAAGAAAAAAACAGTTCGATCATGGATTACAAAAAATTCAATCATGGATTACAAAAAACTCTATCATGGGTTACAAAAAAGTAAAAAACAAAAAATTCAATCATGGATTACAAAAAAAAACAAACAATTCGATCATGGATTACAAAAAAAACAAAACAATTACGATCATGGATTAACAAAAAAATACGAATCAAGTATTAACAAAAAATACTAATCATGAAATTAAAAAAAAAAAAAAAAAAAAAAAAAAAAAAAAAAAAAAAAAACCGTAACGGACTCGCCGATTCACTGTTCGGACTCGCCGATTCCGTACAGTGAATCGGCGAGTCACTGTGCGGAATCGTCCGGTTCTCTCTAGAACCAGACGATTTCCGATTTTTCAACCGATCCGGTCCCTTTTCTCGTCTCGACGTTTTTTAAAACGCTGGTTTTGACATATCTAACATCGGGTGGTTTTGATATAGGCAATTTTGACAGAGTGCGGTCTTGATATATCTAACAGAGGGTAGTTTTGATAGAGGACAGTTTTGACAAAGGGCGGTTTGGATTTCTTTAGGGTGCTATTGCAGGTGTGCTTTCATGGGGTGGTATTTGAAGGACGGCATTGCGTGCCGGTATTACAAGGCGGTTTTTAGGTGTGGATTTCAAAAGTGCGGGATTTCAGTACTTTGATACCGCGTGAGAATGTTGTTTCTCTTAAATGATAAAATTGATGTTCCTATGGTAAATTTATACATAAAGAATCGCATGTTTATATAGTAGACTTTAATAATTGGTAAGTCTGTAAAATACAAATTCTATACAATTCTAATATACAACCGTATCCCTGCAGTTATTATATTTGTTCACACACCCAACATAGGCTTATGGTGATAGATGTCTTCATAAGAGACAGAAGAGAAGGAGTGAAATTAATAGATATTCAAGAATTATGTGGTGGTAGAATTTAAAAACAAAGAAAATAGAATTATTTAGGGCCAATTTGGATGTCCAATAAAAAGAATTTGTTATTCATAAAAATTACAAGTTTTTCAAATGGCAATTGAAAAAAATGCAAAAGTATTTTTCTATTCTTATAAAGTTGTTTGGGTGTTAGACGAGGATTTTATTTTAGCCCCCTTTATGGATTTGTATTATGCTGTCACAAATCCCTCGCCTCACCAAATGGTCTCTCCCTCCTCCCCTCTTACCTCTCTTGATCTCTTTTCTTTCTCAGCACATTTTGGTTCAGTGTATTAAGCTTACCCTCCCTCTAAATGTAGGGTTTTTGTTGATTCTGATGAACCCTAGGGTTTTTTGAGAGAATTTGTCCATCTCTATAAATTTGGGGTTTGTGTTATTTTTTATAAACACTGGTGTTCTCTGTCTTTCTCTCCCCCCAAAAAAACCCATCAAATCAAGCGAGAAATAGAGAGAAACCCAAATCCAAAATGGGTACCTCTTGTTTTGTTATAGTTACTACAAATTTTTGCGTCAAATCTCCAGCCCCTCGGTTTGAGCTCTCAATTTTCTTCTCATTCACCGTCAAAGTTTCCTTATTTGATTTATTGGGAGAAGAAGAAAAACCATTTTTTACTAGATTTATGAGCTTCACCTTTGATGAAACATTCCCCTTGCCTTCGGAAGCCATGACCCACAAACCTCAACCCAAATCCCTATCTTCTCTCACTACAACTTCGAGAGAGAAAATAGATCCTAGAGAGAGAAAGTGTTGGGCTCAAATCAAAGATGCAGCTAGGACTCACCATGACCACTTAAGAGAGAGAGGACTGCAATTGGGGATCAAATATGGTAACCCTGGCTTCAATCCTGAATCAATCATGGACTCTAGTCGGTACAGATGCTTGGTGCCACTAAACCATTAGCAACACCAGAGGAGCTTCTTAGAGAGATAGAGAGAGTGAGAGAGTTGGGTAGCAGGGTGCTAGAGAGAGAGTTGGGTTTTTGGTTTGCAATTAGAGAGATAGAGAGAGAAAGAGTGTTGGGTAATGGGTAAATAGTGAGAAAGCTGGGTATGGGGTTTGCACGGGGTGAGAGAAGGCCGTACTTTCATCCAAAAAAATTGAAGTCTAATTTAAATTTTTTTGAACGATAACTTTTACCTTGACACGACATTATTTTTTCTTTCAATCTAAAAATCTAGTAAAATCGTGCGCTTATCCAAACGGTTCAAAGTCGGTTTCACAAGATTTTTTTATTACAATAAGAAAATATTCCAATTTTGGGTACATCCAAACTGGCACTCAGAAATAAATTAGTAAAAGGAAGGAAAATAGAATTGTGATCATGAAGTTAATGTTATGTGGAATAAGATGGTTGATAGTATTACGAAAATGGCAAAAGAAGTTTTAGAAAAACCTAGAGGAAAAAGAAATTCTTATAAGAAAACTTAGTGGTAGAATGATGAGGTTCAAAAGGCTATTAGTGAAAAAATGATCATGTTATAAAGTTTGGCAGTGTAATAGAAAATATCAAAACTTAAAAAATATAAAAATGCTAAAAAAATACTAAGATAATAGTAAGTAAGGCTAACCTTAAGGCATATAATGATTTATAAAATAAACTGAGGACTGGATAAGATGAAAAAGATACCTTTAAACTAGTAAAATGAGAGAGAGCAAATATATAGATCTAGATCATATCAAATGCATTAAGAGTGATGATCATACGGTATTGGTGAAGAATGTTGCAATCAACTAAAGATGGCAAATATTTATATATTTTGGAAAATTATTAAATAACAAACACTTTGGGAGCACACATTACGAGAAACCTTCAACATAAATAAGATCGTAAGTCATAGATACATTCACAAGATTAAACTTTTGAAGTGAAGAAAACTTTGAAAATGATGAAGGTATGAAACGCGTTAGAACCAAATGATTTTCTGATAGAGGTTTGGAAGTGCATGGGAGAGACTGACATATTCTAAATGATCAAACTATTCAACAAGATGTTGAAAACAAAGAAAATGCCAGACAAATGGAGAAAATGTATTATCGTATATATTTACAAGAACAAAGGAACCACAAAAAATTATAAGAATTCTCGAGGGATCAAACTAATGAGCCATACGATGAGGTTGATGTAGAGAGTGATTGAGCAATGATTACAACGTGAAATGATGTATCTGAAATCAAATTGGTTTTATGTTAGGTTGGTCAACGATTGAGCCTATTTTTATATTTAGGCAATTGATTGAGAAGTTTAGGGAGAAGGGAAGAACTCCACATGGTCTTTATTGATTTAAAGATATAGTACCAAGAGAGCTAATTTGATGTGTTAGAAAAAAAACAGTAATTCTCTAGATGATATATTGACATGGTGAGAGATATATTTGAGGAAGTGCTAACGAGTGTGAGGACAACTAATTGAGAGACAAGTTAGTTTTCAATGATAATATATTCAAATTGATCATCGCGACATCAAATGCATGGACATGAAAAAAAAATGGATTTTAAAATTTGGAAATAGTGCATCTTGTTACGCATTTTCTGAACTGTCAATTTTTAAGATTTTCAAGTTTTCATAGATCTGCTCGATGTACCGTATTTTTAAATCTTTAAATTTAATAACTGAACATGAAAATATATTTTAAGGCTATCACAAAGATTTTCAATATTGAAACCATATTTCTTGTTACTATTGAAGGTACACTATACTTTGATTGTTTAGAGCCTCGGCTCTATACAAGCTGAACCCTATCATTATATATATATACACGTAAATATCAATTAATTATTATTAAAATATTATATATATTTATAAAATAACACTACTCGGGTCAAGTCTCGGTCGGGTCCACATGGACCCGAACCCAAATAGTGTTCAGGTCTAATATTTGACCCACGGGGTCTGGATGTTGGGTTTGGTCCTGGTCCATTGTCCCTTTGTTCATCACTGAGGTGGGTGGATTGCTAGAAAGATGGGTGCCCATAGAGTACCATCATAAATTTGTGGATAGATGATTGAGCCACCGTTTCAGTCCTAAAATGGCGGGATTCGGAGCCATATTCAAATTAAAAGCTCCCCAGAGTAACGGAAGCAACATTCATCTTCTTCCTCCAACTCACCATCATCATCACATACATAGCATACCCATACATGCATGCATGTCTCATCTCATGTGGCTTACCCATCATCAAATGCCATGCAATGCATTAGGCCAGGTCATGCATCTTTGCCTGGCATGTCAATTGCCTCAAGTTCCCCAATTTATGAGGACTCTTCTTCGAACGAACCCATAATTCGCAATCGTCCACTCGTTTCAAAGAGCAAACTCATCATCATCATCATCATCAACCATAACATCATTGCTACTCATCCATGCATTCCATCTGGCTCAATAATCTCACAGCACTAGTCTTTCTTGTGGATGAAGAAATATTCATGGGTTTGTTTTGGATGAAAATGATTTGATCGGTTTTTCTTTTGATGAAATTTTTTTGATGGGTTTTTCTTTTAATGAAGAAATTTTGAGTGGTTTTCTGTTGAAGGAGAGATTTTGAAGGGTTTCTATAGGATAAAAAAGTTTTGATGTGTTTTTGATTGAATATTTTTGTTGGGTTTTCCTTGTTTGATGACATTTTGATGGGTATTGGATGAAGAAACTTTTAAGGCCTTTTTTTTCTGCGATGACTGTTTAATTGGTCTTTTTGTTCACCCATTGAGCTGGTGGTGTCCGTTCTGTAGGCTGAAAGAATTGGAAAAACTTGAATCCATCAATGGGTTTATCAATGGATAATGTCCGAGGGCTCATTCTCGCGCTCTCGTCAAGCATTTTCATTGGAAGTAGTTTCATAGTGAAGAAAAAAGGGCTGAAAAGAGCAGGGTTTTCAGGCGTTAGGGCAGGTACACTTCTCTCTCTCTCTCTCTCTCTCTCTCTCTTTTATTTTATTTATTTTATTTTTTTTAAATGTTGGGTACCACTCTCTGCTTTCGAATGTTTTGGTTGTGGGGTTTCAATTTCGTCTTATATGTTATTCAATTATATCTTTTCTTTGTATGTTATAATGAGATACAAAATGATGGTAGTAAGTTTCTGCAAGATGGAACTGCTGAGTTTACCATGTTTATTTATGGTGTTTGAACCATGCTATGGAGTTTCTTATCATTCATTTTATCATTTCGTGGATTTTCCTTTGGCAGTTTGACATATGAATCACGACATATGATTCAGTTTCCAGTTTTTGGTTCTTAGTTGTTTTTTACGACCTGTTTTTCACGACCTGTTTTTCATTTCCTTATGGCTTTCAGGAAAGATGCAAAACAGGGTTTTGAAACGTCATATAATAATTAATTGTTTGGAAGCTCCTACTTAAACCTTAAGGATCAGGATTTGTTGATTTAGATAATGAATTACAGTGAGCGCAAATCAAAATAACATGAGTAAGTGTTAGATTCTCATATGATTAATTTCACTGCCATTTTTTCAGGTTTAGGAGGCTATTCATACCTTTATGAGCCTTTATGGTGGGTTGGAATGGGTGCAAGTAAGTTTTGTGTGGGTGCTGTTTTTCCTATAATGTTTTCATTGTGTTTAGAAGCTAAAGTGCACTGTCATTTGAGGGTTTATCTAGAGTGATTGAGCTGGTATTGAATTTTTGCTTTGTGTTTAGTATCAATATGCCATATTGATGTTTTATATGTAGCTCCAGTGGAAACCTTCAAAGGGTTATTGGGGTGGTAGGATATCAATCCTGTGATAAGGTGTATTAGAGAGGATTTCATCACTTGGCCGCTAACACAGGCTTAACACCGAGCCCCCTCCCTCCTTATGCACAGAAGTGACAGTAAAAACAACTTTATCACTCGTCCGAAAGAACATGAGGATGTTAACCCCTCCTTCCCCGCCCCAAAGCCACTATTTGGCCCTATATGAAATATTGCATTGGAGGCATATTTGATTGTTGATTCTCAATTTATTAGAGTACTCTACATAATTGGTACTCAAAGCTCAGTCAGAAGTGATCCAGAGAATTTAATCAGAGGCAGAAGAAATGGCTCCACTCTCTTCTGCACTTGACTTATATGATAACTTCTGTTTTTTCTGCACCAAAAAACAATTGAGACTCACATAAGTATATTCTATGTAGATGGACCTATAGACCGTGTGGACAACATGCCCGGTGTGAATCAGCAAATGTCACTGTCTCTGTATCTGACCAGGTGAGAGTGATACATCTCCAGTGTAAGTCACCATAGAAAACCTGAAGCTGACATTGCGCTTGGCTAGTGTCCAACTTCCTTCCATCCATCAGATGAGCCAGAGAAATACGATCTTATGTATGCCATTTGTTTAATTGCAATTCAGGGCTCCTGGTAATCTCGCTTTCAATGATGTAAGTAAGGAGCTCATCTTCTTCCTCTGAAACTAAGTTTGTTGTACAGCTTAACTGGCAATGACTACGTGGCCCACATAAACCAACAGGATTGGTCTTAAGCTCGTACCTGTCTCATAAACAAGAAGGACTAACTAACTGACATTGGACCTCCCCAGAGCAGCAAATCTTGAAATCTTCAAACCAACCATTGGGAGGTCACTTGAGTCCATAGAAGCGTTTATGAGACAACAGTCCAGTGAAGAATATCAACGAGGAATGTTATTGTTATCAAATTCAGCTAAGAGGAAAACAAGATAATGCCTCTGGTCATATGAATGTTAGAACCTGAGTTGAGAGGCTAAAAATGACTACACTTCACACTTCATACACCTAACAAGGTATACTTGGAAGGAGCTTGCAAGATCTGCTGTAGTGGCTTTTAAGGGCGCTGAAATCAAAGAAGATTGCAACCGACTGTCTAGCCTATCATATATAGAGACATGTTGCAAGGAAATATGGGGTAGAGTTCATAGTGCTGTGAGAAATGGGATCATTGTGTTCATGTCGACATGGACAGTTCATCACCAGCGCCACCGCTACAAAAGTTTTTAATGCATTAATTATTCACACTATGGAACTTGCCAGATTTATGGTTTGAAAATCCATGTAAAGCTAGTATGGCGAGTAGTACTATAACTCTTTCAATAGGAACAAAAGGTAGTTTTAATGTTAAAGCGGACATCATCTTGTATTTGTTGGAGATGTAATATTGTATGCACTTTTCATTGTTTTCTCTTGGATAATTTAAATTTTATTTAATTTCGTCCCTTCTTTTTGCGTAGGTTGCATGCAGTTTTGTTTCACAAATTTAATCTTATTCAATGTTTCAAAACGTGCTGGCCTCAGATGATTAGGCAATGCCTAGACTCCCTAGATGGGCACCTAGGCAAGTGCCTAGTACCTCAGTTGAGGTGCCCACCTCAGGCTGCCCATGGCCGGTGAGTGGAAAATTCCCTCGGACCATGGACAATTTGGTTGATGGAAAAGTTGAGAAACTGTATCATTCTTTCCTATTCTAGTTATAAACGGATTATGAGTGTGAGACCTCTTTGTTCTTCTATCATGGTGGTGAAGTCGATGCATATGTTCAAGTACATGGAAATAGCCTCTGTTGGGACTCTATTTGCAAAGAGAATCAGCTCTTAGATATCATTGTGCTTTCTATGATAAATTCTTTAAATGCGTATAGCAATGACATGTATATTTTGTATGTAAGAAGTTTAATTCCTCATTTTTATCAATGAGAATTTAATATTTTCTTGGGCTTAGCAAAGCACATGGGAATTAATCATAGAGAAAAATCTCCACATATTCGTCACCGTCATGTCCTTTCATACTCTCTCTACTTTTTCTTTTTAAATCAACCATTCATAATTGAATAGTTTACATGAACTCTCACTCCGTCTTTTTTTCTTAGTGGTTATTGGTGAGGTTGCAAATTTTGCTGCTTACGCATTTGCTCCTGCAATTCTTGTAACTCCTTTGGGAGCACTGAGTATCATAGTCAGGTGAGCGATGCCTCTCATCTCAAAGTTCAAACCAAGTAATATTCTAGTTATTTTGCCCTTTCTGAAAATTTCTATTCATGCAGCGCAGTTCTGGCTCATTTTATTTTAAAAGAGAAGTTGCACATATTTGGCGTTCTTGGTTGTGTTCTTTGTGTTGTGGGTTCTACTGCTATTGTTTTGCATGCTCCTCAAGAGAAAGAGATCGAATCAGTTAAGCAAGTTTGGAACCTTGCTCTTGAGCCAGGTACCTAAACAATTAAAGTTCTAAAGAACTTGATTTCTTTTATTGTTTACTTTCAGTGTAACACTCTTGCTGATGACTTTTTAGGCCACCAAGTTAATTATTTAAGAAATACACTGCATATTTAACATGTTTCAAAAAAAGAAATATGAAATCTTGATGGGGTTTGAAAACGTCATCAAAAGCTTGTTTTGAGATATATCTTCTCTTGTATGCTAAATTTTGGCTCAAAAAGCATTTGGCTTATTTATTGGTTGGAGTTATATATGTACTTTACTGATAAATGCAGTATCATATTATTATACAGGTTTCATTGTTTATTGGTGCTTGGTTCTTGCCTTAGTTGTTCTTCTTGTTATCTGTGTTGTTCCTCGTTATGGCCAGTCCCACATGATGGTCTATATTGGAATATGCTCTCTTATGGGGTCTCTTACGGTATGATGACTTCCTTTAATCTATATACTGTGATTTATCATTTTTCCTCTTCCATGGCTTATTGTTTCTATTCTATTTATATGTGTAGGTCATGAGTGTGAAAGCATTGGGAATCGCTCTAAAACTAACATTCTCTGGAATGAATCAGTTTGTCTACGTGCAAACTTGGGTGTTCACAATTGTTGCTACAATTTGCATTCTCACTCAGATGAATTATTTGAACAAGGTGATTGAGGCAGCACCGTAAATATATATGATTGGAAATTCTTTAAATTAGTAAAAAAAAAAATTTAGTTGGAGCCTGATAGGGAACTGATTTACTGATTAGTCGTTGTTTCTAGCATCCAAATTGTCTATAAGAAGTTTATAAGAACTTCAATGCATATTCTTCAAATGGGTTGGTTTCTATCTCGTGGGATTATAGTTGAGAAGACCTGAACATTCGAAGTAGTGCATGAAATTATATCTATTATAATTGGGTCGCTTGGCATGAAGCATTGGCAAAACTTGAAGTTCATAAATTATAGAGATAACTAATCAAATGATTGAAAAACCTGAACCTTTCGTACAACATTTTAGAATGGTTATACTTCCTCTGCATGGATAATAATTTTATTGTGTCAGTCTATTTTATGTTGGTAATACATATTTTCAGAACTTATGTGAGATGTATCCCCAATGTCCAACAGTTAAAACTATATTATTAGTTATAGAACTGTAAGTTCTTGTATAGGGAGTATATGTCCAGATGTGTAATTTGTGGGTGTTGGTTTCAGATCTCAATGCCTTAAGAGGCATCTAAGCCACATTCTTTGGTGTGTGAGTGTGTCTTGTATTATTTGGACATTTTTTCCTTTTTTGGGTTGAGTCGTATTTCTTTTTTCTTGTGCAATTTTTGGGTAGTTTTCATTCATTTCACAAGTTTCAATTTTAATCAATGTGTCAAAAGTGCCCACCTTGGGCACCTAGGTGGCAACTCGACATCGGACCTCGTCCAGGGGAAGTGGGCCCCTTAGGTGGGTGCCTAGTGCGTCATTCAAGGTGGCTGCTGCAGGCTACCCATGGACCATGACCGCAAAACCATGGATATTTTTGCATCGCGATGAATATCCTCACACCCTGGATATTTAAGTAGGAAAGGCACTAGGGGGTATTCCAACCTCCGATTGCTCCCTAGACTGATTTCTTTTTCTTTCTTTTATTTTTTAGATAAAAAAATTCTTTCTTTTCCATTTTTTTTTTAAGATTGGAAAAAAGAAAAATATTTGAGAAATCAAATCTCCAATTTTTTGGATTTGATTCTTCTTGAAATATCAAGAGAGGTTACAAGAGGAGATTTAAAGCTCAAGATTTATCCAAAACATCAAGAATCATTGATCGGGCAACAATGGTTAGTCATCTTTGGTCAAACATCAGCCTCATGGCATTAGGAATGCTACTTTCTTTGTGATCGTGTTATATTTGTGAAATGTGATTCAATATATACTTACTTTCAAACCTCCAATTTTTTACATGTATAAATGTAATATTAACATATATATGAAAATTTGTTAGGGCCGGGGTGCCTCAGTCTAGCACTTGCCAAGGTGTACGCATCGTGCTAACCTGGCCAGCCCATGTGATGCTCTGATACATTACTATTATTATTATGATTAATTTTGTTTTTTAATCAGGAAGGTAACATTGTGTACAGTTAACATTAAAAAAAAAGGAAAAAAAATAAAGAAAAAAGACATACCACTGTGTGCATGTCACCTTTATGAGAGCCTTGGTCACTTATGACCTCATTCAGGTGCTCCCAATTCAGCCATTCAAGCGGCTTGTCATTATGGAACTTTTGAGTTTCTCAGGTGCCTGATTTCTATTGATTTAATTGTTAAGGTGTCAAAAAAGTATTGGAGTCTGATCACCTCATGTTCTTTATGATGTAATTGATTGGGTATGGTGCACTAATTGTCTCATGTACTACATATGCCAATATCTGGTTCTAGTCTTCTTTGAGATTAATAAGTAATGTAGTATCTCATATTTTCTTATGTATTTTTTATAAACCTATTCATTTTTGGCTCTTAAATGTCGAATACTTTCATGTCTGCTTAGTCATCTAAGGAGAACTCTTTTACATATATACCAGTACAATATTTTCATTACGAAGTTCTGGATTCAGTTAGTTACAAGAAAGCTGATTGGGGTTTGACATAAGGTACAAATATTGTTCTATCCTCGTGTTTATATCATTGTAAACTTATAAAGATTGCTTCCAAAAAATAATTTTATAGGTTTATATAGGGCAATTTTGAGTTCCAAACTCCTAGGAAATCATGCTTTCAGCATTCAGAAAAATGCATATACATAGAAGATATTCTATTTTCACGAGAGATTAACATTTTCTATGAAATTATTTGTTCAGTGCTCATGTTTTTCATATCCACTATATTTGGTTTAATGCAGGCACTGGATACCTTCAACACTGCTGTGATATCTCCAGTGTATTATGTAATGTTCACTACTCTAACCATTGTTGCCAGCGTAATCATGTTCAAGGTAATCGCAAAAAATAGATATTTTTTAATCTGGACTTAGTTTTGAAGGAAAAATTCTAGAAAAACTTTAGAACACTAACGATTAGAGAACCAACATATAGAATAAATCAAATAAACAAAAATTTCCATTTTATCGACAAGTTGGATCATGTTGATTATTTAGAACTGTGTAGGCAGAAATAAGAAGCAAGAAATGATTTCATTGCAATCTTTTCCTTGAAATGACTCATTATTTGCTTGATAATCAGGACTGGACTACACAAAATGCATCTCAGATTTTGACAGAGTTATGCGGCTTTGTAACTATTCTCTCAGGAACCTTTCTTCTCCACAAGACAAAGGACATGGGTAGTAACTCATTGCCTGATAATCAAAGTATTCTAGCATCAGCCTCATAGTGCACTGAGAATCACTTGATCGCCATTGTAATATACAATTTTTTGGTTCTTTTTGCCCACTGACATCACATGCCATATCCCTTTTGGAACATATTCAACTTCAAGCTGTCCATAAGAAAGTATTAGGGAAAGCCTACTATAAAGCAATGGAGTGTGATGTATGACTTTAAAGCTACTTCACCAACAGTTCCCAGTGATGGATGCATGGAGACCAAGTGGAATGTGATTCACCCAGGTAAACTTAATTTCCTCTGTCCATTAATGAGAAAGATAGTGGTATAGCATGGAGTATCATATGACATGGTGCTTGGACCATGGTGTACTTCCTAAAGTGTTATAACCTTGAAGAGGAAGGCACTCTGCATGAGAAAGGTCAACCACCGTCTTAGTCTTTCAGCATCATAGAGAACAAGAAAGGCTTGTGAACTGCTCATGTTCAAATAAATGAATTTTGTTATTAAATTTATGGGCTCATGCAGTGCACTTCGGCGGAGGCACACTAGACACGTCCTCAAGGAAAAACCTATTTAGGAGTATTCTTTTATCTGAAAATTTCTACTTTAAAATATCTCAATGAGTATTTTAGAAAAGAAAAAAAAAGGACTATACACTTTGAGTTCCTAAACACCTAGGCCTGGCCATCTATAAATTAGCCATATTATGTTCAATCCTTGCATTTTTTTTAAAAGCAAATATAGAGTCCTTATGAAATTTTTAATGTTGGTCCGTAGAAGGAGGAGGATACATCGACAAAATTTTGGGTCCTAAAAAGTACTCCTAGATAGTATGTTACTACAGGGAGTAAATGTGAGATATGCTTAAGAAGGAGCATACACTTTTTTCCCTAAATTTACTTCTCAAGTGCCTCTCACGGGAAATTATGTAAAGCTAGGTTTATATGGATTCATAAGTGCATCATACCTTAGCCTTCCAATGCAGCAAGAAAGATTTGTGGACAGTTAATATTCTAATAAATATTAGTGGTGAACGGATTTATTTCTCAATTGCCTCATACTCATGGATAGTCATTAAATAGGCCCAGTTTGATTGTCAAATTTTATCGATTAAAGTTTGTCTTTCAAATTGTTATTGGTTGAATTGTCATTTTCTATCTAATGGTATTTGCTTGTTCCAATTTCACTTGCAATTTCTTATAGTATAATAGTGGTGATAGTCATAGTGAAGTGGTCCAATGGTTGCTAGCATTAGTCATGAGCTATGGTCATTTGATGCTGAAATAAATATATAGGCCGCCGCTTGGGCCATGGATTTGGATGTTGATCAGTCACCATCCCATTGGAATGGATAAGTCACCATCCCATTGGAATGGATACCAGATTTGAAATCCTACTCATTCCTTGAATGGTGGGGTTTGAGGGTGGCTTGCCCCAGGCCTCTAGTCTCTAGCCTTCTTACATGGCCTATTACTCTCCACACTCTGGATATATGTCCCCCCCCCCCCTTCCAAAATTCTAAAATTTTGGATTCAAATTTTGATCTTAGGTTTCAACACTATCATGGCTTGACTTTGGCACTGTGGTTGTGAAATTGCTGCCTCGTCACAAGCCATGTTAATGGCATATCATCTTCTCCACTATGGTATGCTCTTCTTCATAAAATTCCTCGAATCAACGTGAAGAACTTGGTCATTTGTGGCTCCGCTCCTCATGTTTCTTGAAACTACTCACCACTCTCCACTTTGAGCTCCCTTGCTACAGATTCCTTACTAGATGCATGGGGTTTTCTGCGTATTGGGGTCAGGATGGCCCCGCGTCTCTTCCTTGATAATCACCTTGAAATCGGATATGCCTGCTCGAAGACTACTCACCACCCTCCACTTTCACTTTCCTTGCTACAAGATTCCATACTAGATGCAGGGGGTTTTCTTTGAGTGTTGGGGTTCGAATGGCCTGTGTTTATTTCTTCATAATCACATGGAAATCTGATTGGCCTGTTTTCAATTGTAGATAGATTGGGGTTTTAAGGTTGCTCCCTTTATTCCACTTGTATGTTTTACATTTCCAAGCACTTTGCTCTTAGTTCGAGTGTTAGCAACACTTTGCTTCCTTGAGTTCTTAGCAAAGCACTCCCCAGCGATTCTCAAATCTATATTCTCACAAGTTTGCCACAAGAACTGCTAATTTCACAAACTACTTCATAGGTCCAAGCAAGAAGGGGATGCATGGGACCCTAATCCAGACTCTTCTCGATGGAATAAGGGTGGAACTATGTTGTACTGACCGTGTAGTTACACGGAGAAGAGGGTCCCTAGATATCTGTCTACTAATATTGATGGCTCTACTTCAGAGCTCAATATTTACAATACCGAGCTGTTAGAGGGGCCTTAATTTTAGAGCTCATGACAAACGACATTGAGTAAGATGGGCTGTTTATAGACGACTCGCACCTGCATTCGTCGTGCTCTTGAAGCCCGCTTGTGCAGCCGCACTAGTTCCTTTCTTGGAGGAGAAAAAGATTCTACCAAGGTTTCTTACAGTCTTGGGTTTGTGGTCAAAGACGGGACAGTGAATTGCACAAGTTTTGGGTCCAAACGTGCTCCAGAAGACAAGATCAGCCTTGAAAAAGGTTACACAGTCATTGGTCCTCTGTTAGAAGCTTGTTTGAAGCTGAATATGGAGGTTTAAAATTTTCTAGGTAAAAAATCGTCACTCCGATCTTTATGCAGCCAAATCGGTTTTCGTGGTTAAGCTCAAAGAGGCTCCATGTCTTTTTCAATCAAAATACACTATGCCTTTCTTCCTGTAAATGAGTGCACTTAAAGAATAGAGTCTTATGCAGTTAGCCCTCTACTTTATTTATGTGGATTGTCGAAAGACAATTCTTCATCTTCTTGTAACTCTTCTCGTGCTCAAACTACCTGCATATACATCACCTATTAAAAATTAGTTTTCATGTTAGACTTTATGTAAACTGTTTTGATAATGCACTGCAATTACTCAAAGGATGCAGAGGTCAGCACTATCTTTGAGGTATTAAATGCCCTTGTCTCCATATGCATCATGATACAAACGAGTTTTAACAAATATTCCCTTAGGATACAACTGGGATGACCGGATGAGCCTGCCACAACTTAATTTTGATTCTCAAATGATTTAAGAAATCTCTACTTTGAGAAAACAATAATATATATGTATATATATATATAGAGCAATGAACCAATGCAACGGTTGTATCAAAGTATAATGCAACGTCACTTCTAGAAAACCATGCTTTTGGTATTTGTATGACCCCAAATTTTGCACACACTCTCTTCATCTCAATAATCAATCCCCCCCCCCAAAAAAACGCTAAATTTGAACCCTAGATATAGTCAAAAGGAGTCGCCTCTAAAAACGAATCTAGACCATTCATTTTGTGAATTTCAAGATCTTAGCCTTTATAAACTTAAAATCATTTTTTTCTTTTTTAACATTGTTTATCTAATGATAATAAATCCATCCAAAAAAAAAGGAAATGAGAAATATTTCTAAGGCCTAGATCTAAGCATCTCACAAAAATGAACGGCCTGTGTTAATTGGGATAAAAAAATACTTTCTAGGTTGTGTTTTCAATTTTTTCTTTTTTTGAGATCATTCATTAGAATGAAAAAAATGTATATTTCAAAATTTGGATCAAACAAATGACCATAAGATGGTTTTTTAACCTTGTTGCTTCATATTACTATACAACGTTGCATGATATCATTGCTCATATATATATATATATATATACACATATATAGAAGATGCTAGGGTGAACCCACGGGCTCACGGAATAGTATAAGCACAATAGCCCAGATTGAATCTGGGCCAATCTGATAGTCAGGACTGTATATCGGTAATATTATTTTAATATTTTTTATATAAATCCAAATAGAATGAAATTTAGAGCATAAACTCTTCTCATAAAGGTGCACCTACTAAAAATAATTCACATAAAATAAATTGACTAAAATACCCCTAAAACTTTTCAGGGGTATTTTGGTCAATTTAACTTGTGCAAATTAATTTTTTTTTCATATTTTTATTACATTTGATTATTCTTGAAGAATAGACGCTCCAAATTTCTAGTAATTTGGATTTGTAGAAAAAAATTTAAAATTCAATTACGAAATACAATTGTGACCATTGGATTGGTCTAGATTCAATTTGAGTTGTTGGGTTTACATTGCTCTATGAGCCTATGGGTTGACATGAGCTTATTCTTATA